GATTGTCTTTACAGTCCGCATTGACTATTCAAGTTTGCAGTTTGGATTGCAAATACCGAACCCAAAAATTAATTTCTGCTACTCTCAGGAATTCATACGGATGCAGATCCCTGTGATTTCTCCAGATTAGAAGAAAACAAGGGGATTTCATGCCCTTGGGAGCTTCTTTATCCTCTTTTCTCCCACTTTCTCTGAAGAAGAAGCAGAAGAAGAAAATCCCAAAGAAATACTAACGCCCAGCTTCAAAATGAACACTAGAAGTGGGAGCAACCTTAATTCTCTATTGTACTCCGTCTTTCTCTTCTCACTCTTGATTACCCACCTCTCTTTCTCTCATGTTCTCGCCGATTCACACTTCGAAGGCTTCGACGCCGAGGACGATGATGCCGCAGAGGAGGAAACCTTGGACCCCAACTTGCTCCGATCTCCTCCCGTAACTCAATCCCAGTCGTCTTCGATCATCCCAGATGCTAAATCTGAAATCAGTTCGGATCTGGAACCTAGGGAGGATCCCGATGTGGATACTCCTTTGCAACCCCAATTGGATCTTCCGAAGCAAACTACGACTAGCTTTGAGTATTGGGATGAGGATGAATTCGAGGGTCTGCCCGTTCAACAGCCGCCTGTTGAAGCCCAGAAAGTTGTTGAAAATGCGACTTCTGAGGACCCAGATGTGAAAACGGCCCAAAAACCAGGGGAGGATGCTGCCTCGAGGAAATCGTTTACGGTGGAGATTGTTTGTGGGTCTTTCTTGATTGCTTTTGCCATAAATTACTTCACTGGAAAACGAGAGAACGAGAATCTTGCGCTGGCATGGGCTACGAAATTTGCAACGAAAGACTCGATTTTTGAGAAAAATTTCAGTCTTTTGGGTGTTGGCGAAGAGGATGATTCACCGCTGCTGCTGAAAGAGGGGCAGAACGTGTTTAAATTTTATGCGAGTGGGCGAAGATACTGTCAGGGTTTGCTGGCAACAATTGAGTTGAAGAGCAGACATGATTTGATATCAAGATTGTTCAATTTGGTGGTACCGTGTAGGGATGAGATAAGTTTTGAAGTGTACATGAATGATGATGCGATGGACCAAGTAGTTTTTGCGCTGGCAAGGAAAAAGCTCGCGAAAGGGATGCAGAAAGAATTGAGGGACTTACAGAGGTTTGCAAGTTTGATGACGCCACCCGGCGGCAGGAAGTGGGTGACTGAGGAGCTCACTGTGATCTCTGAATCCAAGGAGGTTGCTAGCGACTTGATCACAGAGGCTGTGCTTGAGCAGGTTGGTGAAATGTCTAATTGTGTTCTAAGTTCTATTGTCAAGTTTCCTATTTCTATGGTTTCGATGTTGAGCTGATTTCTTGATATTGTTAGCTTTCCCGTTGTTTTAATGACAGTTTCTGCTTTTCGTTTTTAATATTACATGATTATGGTTTGCTATAGCCTTCCAAAATGAAGTCTAGTTCCCAAGCCAAGGGCAACATCTTATAGGTTTCCATGTGTTCCGTTTTTTTTTTTTTTTTTTTGTTTTTTTTTTACTTGCTAGTTGCATTTTCTTGCTCACGGGCTTGTGACTGTGGAACTTGATGTATTTAGGCTTGAAACGAAATTATAATGACTAATGAATCTGAATGATTTCTATTTCAAAGCATCAATGCCAATATAAACGAATGCCTGATCTGTAGTTTATTTATATGATATAAGAGCAAAATGTTGATGGACATTTTACAAAGAACTGCAAGGCATAAATAGCTGGTTCTGTGCGGTTATTTAGGTTCCTCTGTTTTTCATACATAAAATTTTGGTTTTAGTTGGAACAATCATTTTGAATTTTGGTTGTTTTGTTCTATTTACTTGGTAACATTCATGGAGACATATCAATTTGGAAAATGACTTAAATTCACTAATATGCAAAATTCAGGATAACCTTTTCCAAAGAAATGGTAGGCTTGCTATGCATGATTTTTCAGTGATTAGCATCTAGTCTATTAGGTCATTGTAAAGAGGCACGAAAATGATGTGATTTTACAGTATCTGGGGGCGAATGATTGTTGTGCTGATTATCTATGAACATGCATTCAAGTGGAACTTTGTCTAGAAAAGGTGCTTCATTTGCTGATGATTTTCTTTTGTAGTTGGAAAAGTTTTCTTGAGAACCCATTGGCTTTTGCTTTTCGGTCACTATTTTACTATTTCAAAGTTCCATTTCCCCTTACTTGCCATCAACAGCGTGCATACTTCCAAGTTAAGACCTTGAAATGTCCACTTCTTTCTATTTTTAATCATGCAGTATAGGTTGTGGGTGGTATTCTTCAAGCATTTGGTTTATTTGCTAGACAACTGAAGAATTTCTCTTTAAAATGTGCGATAAATTGTGTATGATATTCTGCAGGTTTTTGGTGAAAAAGCTTTTGAGAAGTATGGAAAGGACTTCATTTCGATGCATATCTCAGATCAGCTTCCTGGCACACACAAGAAGATGCTTTTATTCAAGTTTGCCCTCCCTGACGCTAACCACATGGCTGACATGACTACGTTGGTGGCTCTTGTGCCCTACTACATTGATCTGATTGGGCGGTATAAGCTCAGTTCACAGGTAAGACAATTGGAATTCACTTTTCATGGTAACATTTGGTATGTCATTTTGATCTTCTTATTAAGACTTCTTTGTTCAATGCAGGCACATTCTAAAACAGATGCAGCTAGGTTGAAGGCTGCTCAAGAGGCATACAAGGAACTTCAAAGCACCAGGCAAGAAGCTTTGCAGAAAAAGAAGGCTGAGAAGAAAAAGATGCTAGAGGAGTCTGAGGCCAAGCTTAGTGCAGAAGCCATTCGCAAGAAAGAAGCAAAAGAGCGTGCTCGTCAATTGAAGAGGGGTATGCCAAAAATAAAGATGACCCGTGCTCACTAGGTTACTGGGTTTCGGTAGTCGGCATTCTGAGCTTACTCTTATCAATCTTTAATTTCTTGAAACTGTTGCTGAGTCATGCATTTCATAGGTAATTTTCTGCGATCACACTGTATTTTAGTTGTTCCCATGGCTTAGATACTCTCCTACATATCTGCATCTTTTTCGGTTGAGTTTTGACTGCACCAAGAATTAAAGCCTCACAAACCTCTTAAATTACTCCTTTGGATTGACATTTGCAGCCTTAATTCGAGTAACACTCGCAATGTCTTGCCATAAAGCATTTCTTGTTATTGCTCTTGATTTTCCTTGTAATTGGCAGCTTATAAAGATCAAAGCATTATGTCCTTGATTCCATGTGACAATTCCTCTGTAAATAATTGCTGCTAAGGAGAGAAATGAAATCACCAGAAAAATAAAATATGGTGCCTAGGGCTTGGTTATTGCCACATGGCCTTTTGTTCATTCTACACAATTAATATAGAAAGTGCGTTTGGTTTAACTGATTTTATCAATTTATAGCTGTTTTTGAAAGTTAAAGTTAACGGTTTGATATAGGTAAACAAAATTATAGGTTACTGTTTGACATGTTGCATGGAAGTTTCATACAACCTTTTTCTGCTACTCACTACTTTTCACTACAAACGATTGAAGTTCGAGGGTTTTTCACTCAAAAATAAGGGGAAAAAAATGGATTTTCTTGTTCTTTTTGACATTTTCTAAAAGTAACTTCTTTTATGGATGGAAGTACCTATTCATATCATATTTCAACACATATCAACCAATCTAGTACAAACCAATCACTAAACAAAATTGACTTGAACATAAGACATAGCATACTAGGGCTTCCCCCTTAACCTAAGGGCTAACGTTTCATTGAAACTTTCATAGATATTGGGTACATCAGAAGTTATGTATCTTGATCCACAAACCAACTAAACAACTAGCTTTGATTAGTGAGGGCAATTTTCTCTTCCTGACCAACATTCCCTTGACTCTCTCTCTTGTTTGGCTTATCATGGTAGAACAAACGAAAAAATAATTGGCCATACAGATATTTGGATCTGACTGTTGGTATGTCGATGAAGCAAAGCATAATTAATTGTAGTAAAAATGGATTGGCAGACCGCAGAAGGCAATCCAACAATATCAGAGAAGCTGCAGAAGGGTTTGTTGTTGCTTCGAGATGAATGGTAAAGCCACGGTACCTTGCCCCTCCAATTCCAGGTAACACCTTCCCTTATTGCTTTGTACGCAAGATAAATGATGCAGATAAAAAGACCAGCAAATGATAGTGACATTAGTGTGAATGCATACTGGGGTTTATGCATGGAGGAAAGCTGGTCAATTGCAGCTGAAAGGAGCTCCACAATGAAGTTGGTGACAACAATGACACGCTTGAAA